TCTATCCATATCTATCCATCTATCTATCATCTACCCATATCTATCCATCTATTCATATCCATCCATCATCTAACCATATCCGTCTGTCCGTCCATCCATCCATCCTTCCTTCCTTCCTTCCATCCTAGAAAGGTGTTTTCTATGAGTACACCTGTGGACATCAGATTACTAGAAAAGTAAGGTTTCTAACCAATCAAACTTCCTTGAGGCAAGTCGCGGATATTCCTACTTGCAGCTGAGTAGAGCAATCATGTTCACAAGCAAGCAAATCACCTGCAGATGTTTTCCCCCCTGAGAAACATCTGGATCACCATTCAGGGCAACCAAAGGCTAGATAAGAGCAGCTGTCTGCTTTTTTTAAAACTCTCCAAATACTGTTTTGTGTTCCCTATTGAATCTTCCTTTATTTTTTTCTTTACTGGTGGTCCTCAGCTTACCACTATTCATTTAGTGGACCATTTGAAGTTACAAGGGACACCCCCAAAAGAGACTTTGGATCGTTTCCCACAGTTACGACCATTGTAGCATTCCCCGTGGTCGCGTGATCAAAACTCGGGTGCTTAACAAGAGCACCCAGCTCTTGTCCAGTCCAGCAAGAGACTGGACAGCCACTGGTCTGCAATGGAAGAGGCTCCCCTGCTCGAGCAGGGGGTTGGACTAGAAGACCTCCAAGGTCCCTTCCGACTCTTATTATTCTATATTCTAAATATTTATGGTCGAAGTGTCCCGGGAGTCATGTGATCGCCTTTTGCAAACTTCTGGTAAGCAATGGGCAAACCAGGTTCATATATCAAACGTTTTACTTAACAACTGCAGTGATTCACTTAACGGTGACAAGAAAGGGCGTAAAATGGGGCGAAGCTCACGTCCCAGCTGTCTCGCTTAGCAGCGGAAATGTTGGGCCCAATTGGAACCGTAAAGGTCAAGGACTATCTGGGTACAAATATGTCTTTCTCCCCTGTTGATGCATCAAGCAAGCAACACATCTTGCAAGTTTCATGTTCTGAAGAAGACTTCTGTGGAGTCTGAAGTCTACATCACTTTTACCAATACAATATTTTCCAACAAAAAGAGACAGAGGAGTCCAATTTGCACAAGGACTCCTGCCTGTTACAGGTGAATAAAGAGGAATCATGAATAGGGAACGCAATTATCCCAGGTAGAGTACCTTTACAGCTTACACTGTTTGGGTAGAAAAAGTTATGTGAGTCTTGCTCATGGCTTCAATTTTTTAAGTACAAAGGTAAAAGTTCCCCCCTTGAACTTTTTGGGATAGTCGTTCCCGGCTCTAGGGGGCGNCAGTTGGTGTGAGCTTAAATGGACTCCAGAGGATGGTAGAGAACAGGCAGGCCTGGAGGAACATTGTCCATGGAGTCGTGATGGGTTGGACACGACTTCGCAACTAACAACAACAACTGTAGGCTCATGTAAGATTAATCCCAGCCCTTAAAACTAATCCAGATTTCCACAAACATTCAGCCCTTTCAAGATTCAGCACCCTTCCCATCAGAGGCGGCATTCAGACGGTTCGGACCGGTTCACCGGCTCTGTGCCATTCTATTTAGGCACGTTTTCAAGCCACGCGCATATGTGCAAGCCACACGTGCGATCAAAGCAGATGCGTGGAAGGCCGAGAAAGTGCTTCAGAAGGAATGGGACTATAGACACAAATCTTTTTATCTAATTTTATCTTCCAGATACAGCTGCTTTAATGAGATGGTCCAGATACAGCTGGTGTAATGAGATGGTCCAGATACAGCTGCTTTAATTAGATGGTCCAGATACAGCTGCTTTAATGAGATGGTCCAGATACAGCTGCTTTAATGAGATGTTGCGGGGAAACAAAATCGACTCAACGAGTTAGACTTTCCACAGTTTCAAACTACAAGCTTATCATTTTCCTTGCACTTAAAGCAATTTGGCAACTGGAGATAAAGGTTAAATAGTTAAATGTAACTGTTTTCTCCTGCTGACTGGCCAGACACGATGGTATTTGTAGTCCCAACCTGTCTGGAGGGGATATGCTGAGATAGGGAATGCTGTTTATTGGGCTGAGGTTTTCCACCCATCATTAAAATGCCCATCATTACTAAGAAGCCATTTCGGTTTTATTTATTTGCAAATCCCTCATTACAAAGCCCATTGTAAGAATGGAGTAATTAAAACGTTCCCAATCAAATGCCCACTTCCCATTCGGAAAAAGCATTTGCGATAAATATTATCATTAAAGATTGCTCGACAAACCACAGAGAGATCCTTGGTTCCCGAGGTCTCCTGGAAACTGGAAAGCTCAGGAAAGAAATATCTATGGTTAGCCATCCCTCCTCCTAGCTCAATTCACATCCTGTTCGGAGGGGATCAAGAGATAAATTTTTATTTCTGTGCATTAATCTGGTCATATTAACCGGCAACAATGGGATTAGCCAAAGCACTGCAGCTTTTATTGGGGATTCTCGTAAAATAGAGGGAATCTATCTATCTATCTGTCNTTTTTGTATTGCCCCCTTCCCCATGTGTTTGTTCACCGCCCTGAGTCCCCCCGGGAATAGGATGGCATACAAGTATAATAAATACAATACAATACAATACAATAAGCCCTTCCCCGAAAAGGGGGTTGGTTCTTACCCGAGTTGCCTATTCTCATAGGGTGGAGGTAGCATCCAGACTGGGTTGACATCATCCGCTCACTGATAGGACTAAGTCTGATGAAGCTGTTGCTAAGCAGACCCAGCTTTCGACTCAGTACCTCAGTGAGGACGGCTGTGTCATCGCTTAGCTCCACGGCTATTTCCAACACAGCAGCAGCCATGAGGTGACCACGTTCGCCGCCTCCTGTACCTCAAAAATAATAAGTCGTCCCCCCCCCCCGAAAATAAGGCCAAGTGCTTATTTCAGGGGTCAAAAGAAAATAAGACCCAATCTTATTTTCGGGGAAACACAGTAGTGATTTAAATCATGATTTAAATGGTCATTTAAATCGACTTGATTTAAATGAAATCCACCCTGGCGCTTGGGGAAGTCATTTTGACAAGACGGATTGGGGGAAATGGCGGGAACACCTCCCCTTCTGCTACAGTCAGAACATCTGGGAAAAACTTGGCCAACAAGAAAGAAAGAAGGGGGAAGAGAAAGTAAGAAAACCAGCTGCTGACCAGCACACGTAAAGGAAGTCCTGCATCTGGGCTGGTGTTTTTAAAAGAAAAAAGGAGAAGACACACATTACAAATGAAAAGATAAATGTGGTTTATTCGCCTTGAGCCCCAAGGCCCCTCATCATCGGTCACAGGGAAATGTTACGTGGAAAGAAAAACTGTGGAAATCAAATACGAGGAGAGTTGTGGGAACGAAAACTGGATCCCAGCTTGGGTTTGAGACTCGGCAATGAAAATTAAGGAGAGCTGGCCATAAGAGCAAGTTAACCAAGTTAGTCAAGATGAACAAACTACGGTAGGTCCAGAAATTCCTGGGTTGGCACGTAAGATTGTCTTCTTATCTTCATGAGATGAGATGGCAGGGGATGTTGAAAAAGCCAAAACATGAAAATTAATGATAAAGAGGACGACTGTAAGCACAACAAAAGTGGATCTAGTCAAGGCTAGAGGCCTTTGAACTCGGGTGCTGGAGAAGACTCCTGCGAGTCCTTTAGACTGCAAGGCCATCCAACCGGTCAGTCTTAGAGGAGATCCACCCTGACTGATCTTTAGAAGGCCAGATCCTGAAGAGGAAACTCAAANTTGAGGGGGCTGCCACAGAGGGGAAGGGGGGTCAAGCTATTTTCCAAAGCACCGGAAGGCCAGACAAGGAATAATGGATGGGAACTGATCAAGGAGAGATTCAACCTGGAAATAAGGAGGAATTTCCTGACAGTGAAAATAATCAACCCATGGAACAGAAGTTGCCTTCAGAAGTTGTGGGAGCTTCATCCCTGGAAGCTTTCAAGGAAAGACTGGAGTGCCATTTGTCAGAAATTGCTTAGGGTCTCCTGCTTGGGCCAGGGGGTTGGACTAGATGACCTACAAGGTCCCTCCCAATTCTGTTAATCTGTATCTATCTGTATAGATTCTTGTAGTTGTTTGGCAGATTTATGGAAGACCATTTGCAAAAATTCTATTTCACTGAATTTATCCTTTATCCTACTGTTGTACTCATTCACTACTTGTTTCCTTTCTTTCCTTCCCTACTCCTTCCTTACTAGAGTCACATTAGGTTAAAGTATTATTTACCCAGCCCTGATTTGTTGAAGAAAAAGGTTTTGACTATTCTCCAAAGCACTTAAGAGCAGGAAAGGAAGCAATAAGTGGGAAGGGGGACCATTAAAAAGAGATCCAACTTAGAACTAAGTTTCCTGACAAAGAGAACAATTAACCAGTGGGAAAGCTTCCATCCAGAAGTTGTGGATGCTCCATCACTGGAGGTTTTCAAGAAGAGACTGGACAGGTATTTGCTTGAGCAGGGGATTGGACTAGAAGACCTCCAAGGTCTCTGCCAAGCTCAGTATACTATGTTTTAAGTAAAGAATACCCCAAATCAGACTGGCCAAATGTGGTTTCCCAATCAAAGCTTAACATCATTTGATGGGTACAGGACCATGGACAGCTCCACAATGAGCCACATTCTCCAAGGAAGGCTAAAGGGCAACTCTGTCTTAAGTTCACCCATCCCATCCCACCCTTCCAGTGCTATCCTATTTTTGGAGACCCGAGATCCTTAAAGAGCAATCTCCCTGGTTTACAGATACTGATTTCACTTCTTCAGGATCTTCTGAATAGCTCCATTGAGCAAATGCGGGATTGTGAGATATTCAGTTGGGGTCACCACGATATAAAAAAAACCGTATGGAGACTCTAGAAGGAGTGCAGAGAAGAGCAACAAAGAGGATTAGGGGACTGGAGATTAAAACATATGAAGANTTGTTAAGTGAGTTTCACCACGTTTTGCAAGCTGGCCACAACCACCCAGTCACATGGCCGGCAAGCCACTCCCACAAAGCAGGCCACACCTACAGAAGAGGATCTAAAAAATTTTGAAACCCACCACTGTCCCATGACCTGGATGACTGAGAATCTCCATAAATATAGGGTCTCCTGCTTGAGTCGAGGGGGTTGGACTAGAAGACCTCCAAGGTCCCTTCCAACTCTTTCAGTTCTGTATTCTGCATTTCCTTCTCCCGGCCTGAAAACTTGCTGGACGATGTAAGACAGCTGCCCGCGGGATCTTTAAGGCTTGCAGATTTTTTTTTGTCTGGCATAGATTTCCAGAGGGTAGAATTTTGTCAGACGTTATGAAAGATCTTTGACAGGCTATGAGCTGGCCTGGCATGGAGGCAGGATGCCTCCAGCAGGTTCTAGGGCCCATATGCTGCTTCCTAGCCTACCGATAATGTCTGTCCTGGTTTCTCCATGCTGGAGACCTGGAGGACACCACGGTGGAGCTTTCTGGTGCATTGTGGGAAATGACCATCCTCGTCCCTGGAAGGGCTACCCCTTGGCCTGCTCTGGGTTTGATTGCTATTGCTACTGTCAAGGAAGTTGGCCGAAGGGGGTTACTGACAATCGTAGAGATTTGACCAAGGGAGAGACATTGCCCAAAGGCAGCTCCAACCTCAAGCAGGGTTTTTCTTCTCATCCGTCTCCAGTCCTGCATTGCTTCACATTTCATTCTGCTGTGGTTGAGTTTGGACTAACCCTATCAGTGATTCTCTACTGAGAATGTTCTAATCCGGGGGGGGAGGTCAAACCTGAGGGCTGCATCAGGGCTGTGTTTGACCTCAGGGGACAGGGTGGGTGTGGCCAGCTCGATATTGTTCATGTCGGGGGGAGCCTTTGGTAGCCCGAGGGCTCTGCCAGTGAAAACAGGCTCCTGAGCTCCGTTTCCAGCTGCAACGGCCTCCTGCAACCCTCTGCCAGCAAAAATGGAGTGGGTGTAGGCCGCTCGATATCGTTCATGTTGGGGGGGGGCGTCTTTGGTATTCTGAGTGCTCTGCCAGTGAAACAGGCTCCTGAGCTCCGTTTCCAGCTGCAACGGCCTCATGCAGCCCTCATGAGTTCCATTTGCAGCTACGATGGACTCCTGCAACCCTCTGCCAGCAAAAACAGAGCTCGGGAGGGACAATGCAGCCCTTGTGAGTTCCGTTTGCACCTGCGATGGACTCCTGCAACCCTCTGCCAGTGAAAACGGAGTTCGGGAGGGCCGCACGCAGCCCTCATGAGTTCCGTTTGCCGCTGCAACAGCCTCCTGCAACCCTCTGCCAGTGAAAACGGAGCTTGGGAGATTTGCCTTGAATTCGACACCCCTGTTCTAATCTATCAAGATAGAGCATCATCTATCATTAGGTCTTAAGAGGCCCTTGTTTGATTGTCACCACTCATTAATCCATGGTTTTAAACCAGACCTTGGCATTTCATGGCCTTCAGGCCACCTCTGTTTCTTTGGTTGACACTGTCTGGTACACATGAAGTCAATCAAAAATTAGAAATCGGAGTATAAGACGCCCCAAGGTTTTGAAGAGGAAAATAAAAATTTTGCACCCCTCAAATCTCCCAAAAATGGGCCGTTTTTCATGAAAACGGGCCCTTGTTTTTCAAAAAAAAGAGGCATGAATATCCTTTAGGAGACTTGTAGAGTGCTCCTGGAGGGGGACAGAAAGAAAAAATGGCCCATTTTTTGCTCATTTCTGCCCTCCCCAGCCCCAAGGAGCTCTCTGGAAGCCTCCTAAAAGCTAACCACGGCCATTTTGGTGAAGAGGGCGGGGTTTCAGGAGGCAAAAAATGCTGTATTCAGTGTATAAGATGCACCCAGATTTTCAGCCTCTTTTTTGAAGAAAAAAGTTACATCTTATACTCTGAAAAATACGGTAAATAAGGATCTGCCATACACACAATACAACTGTATTGCAATCAACCATGGAACAGAAGTTGCCTTCAGAAGTAGTGGGAGCTTCATCGCTGGAAGCTTTCAAGAAGAGACTGGACTGCCATTTGTCAGAAATAGTGTAGGGTCTCCTGCTTGGGCAAGGGGTTGGACTAGATGACCTACAAGGTCCCTTCCAATTCTATTAATCTGAATCTATCTAAGAAGATCAAAAGTCTGGAGACTAAAACCTATGATGAATGGTTGCAGGAACTGGGCATGGCTGGTCTAGTGAAGAGAAGGACCAGGGGAGACAGGATAGCAGTTTTCCAATATTTGAGGGGCTGCCACAGAGAGGAGTTGGGGGTCAAAACTATTTTCCAAAGCACCTGAAGGTAGGACAAGAAACAATAATTGGAAATAATCAAGGAGAGAAGCAACTTAGAAGTAAGGAAAAATTTCCTGACAGTGAGAACAATTAATCAGTGGAACAGAAGTTGCCTCCAGAAGTTGGTGAATGCTCCAACACTGGAAGTTTTTAAGAAGAGGTTGGATCTCCCTTTGTCTGAAGTGGTGTAGGGTTTCCTGCCTGAGCCAAGGGAGTTGGACTAGAAGACCTCCAAGGTCCTTTTCAAGGTCCCATCAAAACCCGCTTGTGCCCCAACAGTTAGCAGGGACACAGAGACGGTTGTTCAACCAAGAGATCTATAAATATTCCCCTCTTTTGCCAGCACTACACCTCGGACGCGGACGGCCTCTGCACTCGTCTCATGAAGCCGAAGGTGATGGAGGGGACTGTGGCGGCACAAGATGAATTCTCACGGAGTAAGTGCCACGCGGAAGCTGAATGGGNTGGCTGAGGAATTCTGGGAATTTAAGTCCCTGCATGCTATGTTTGGATTTCCTGGAGTTGAAGTTCCTGCATGCTGCCTGGGGAATTCTGGGAGTTGAAGTCCACACATCCTGGCTGGGGAATTCTGGGAGTTGAAGTCCCTGCATGGTATCTTTGGATTTCCTGGAGTCAAAGTCCCTGCATGCCGCCTGGGGAATTCTGGGAGTTGAAGTGCAGAAATGCTTGCTGGGGAATTCTGGGAGTTGAAGTCCACACATCCTGGCTGAGGAATTCTGGGAGTCGAAGTCCCTGCATACCGCCTAGGGAATTTTGGGAGTTGAAGTCCAGAAATGCTTGCTGGGGAATTCTGGGAGTCGAAGTTCACAAATGTTTGCTGGGGAATTCTGGGAGTCGAAGTCCACACATCCTGGCTGAGGAATTCTGGGAGTTGAAGTCCCTGCATGGTTATCTTGGGATTTCCTGGAGTTCCTGCATGCTCCCTGGGGAATTCTGGGAGTCGGAGTCCCTGCATAGTGGCCTTGGACTTCTAGAAACTGAAGTTCCTCCATGATGGCTGGGGAATTCTGGGAATTGAAGTCCCTGTATGGTGGCAGTCAGTATTTCAGTGTGATGTCACTTATGGTGCAACTGAAGCTTTGGTCATCCCAAATGCAGGACGAGTGTGTTGCAGGCCCAGTTTGGAGACCCCTTCAAATGTTTGCTCAAGCCCTCCTTTTCTCTCCCCACATTTTGTTTCCTGGCCTATTTCCACGTACACAGACACTCACACACACACACATACACACAAAAGGCAATTTTTTTTGCATTCTTCTGCAGATGTCAGAGATATCCTCCACCAGCCAGGCCTGACTCAGCCACGATGGGTCATTTCCTGGACGTTTTTGCCGTCGGGTCCACTGTTTGCAAAGAGGCCGGCAACGTTTTTTCTCGCCATAAGGCAATAAATAACATTTCGGAGAGGCTCTGAGTCACCTTGATCAGGAATGCCTCGTGTCTCGCTTGCTGCAAGGATCACTCCTGGGGGNAACTTGTAAATACCACCTCTGACTGGCCCCACCCCCATCTATTCTCTGCCTCCCGAATCCCAGCTGATTGGGCAGGAATGGAGATTTTACAGTATCCTTCCCCTGCCACGCCTACCAAGCCACACCCACAGAACTGGTAGTAAACAAAATTGAATCCCACCACTGACTTGGATGTACATTACATATTTCCTGTATGATTGAACAAATCTTGTAAGACAAGAAAGTGGTGAGCTATGACCCAGCTGTGTAGATAAGGCCAATACTGCAATTCAGTAGCACAGATTGATTTATTCCCAATGTGCCATACATGAGGCTTTCAACTTCAGTAGTTACACAATTCATTTCTAGGTACAAGGTTTCCAACTGCTTATTCAGCACTAAAAACATAGCAATATAAAAAGAAAGAAAAATTATATCAGACTGAAATTACTTGGGCAGAAGAAATTAAGGAACAAATGAAACAAATTGTTTTATTGAAGCCGACTCCCACTTGCCAATGACTGTGGCTCTGAATGAGTGGACTTCATCTAGTGCTCAAGTCTGGAGAAGAAGAAAGCTCTTTTTCCTTAATAGAGATGAGAATTGCCAGATCTAGAAGGATTGTTTTCTCTCTCCTAAATCAATCTCTTTTTTTTCCTTTAGAGGAATTAAGGAGCATTCTTTAAACATGGATTGTTAAGACAAAATGTTAGCTACCCTCATTCTTCTTTCCAAATGGAACAGAATGGCAAATTAACTTTCCCCCCCACAATATTGTGATCCTTTTTTCAATCTTGCAACCTGTCTCTCCTCCTTCCCTCACCCAGAAGACAATTTCTTCCCTCTCTCTTTTCAACCTTGTGCCACATTGGTACAGACCAGTGGTGGGTTACTTCTACGGGCGTACCAGTGCCTGCCGGGAGCACTGGGTACCACTCTGGTAAGGTGCTCCGGTGGGTCCACCTGCCCACCAAGCCACGCTCATTACCAGTATTTGAGCTCTTTGGGCCTTACACGCACGGAGCATACGGCACCAGCACGACGCTCCGCCGACCAGCTGGAGCATCACAGAGCATCGCAGGCGGTAAGCACACATGTGCATGCACTCATGTAGTGGACGCCAGGTCTCGTTGCACAGTTGCAACGGGATCCGGAGCCCACCACTGGTACGGACCCCAGTAAGAATGCCATCTTTGAACATATCTGATGTTCATTTGTCCTGACAATTCTCTTGATCACCTTTGCTCAGTAAAAAGCATTTGCATTCGGCAGGTGGGTTCGAGCAGGCACTGCAACTTCATCCAAAATGCTGGAACAGCTCAGTTGGGAGATGATTTGTTATGCCAGTGGTCCCCAACCCCCGGTCCGCGGACCGGTGCCGGGCCGTGGAGTACCTGGCACCGGGCC